TTGAAAGCACAGACTACATAGTACTAATTTTATAGCCTCAGTCCACGAACTTTTTGATAACCCCTCGTATATGTACCAAGATCGGTTCTAAATGCATGCATAAATCTCTTAGGAAATTAAACGTTTTTTATGTACGGGGGGGGGGGGGCAAACAGTGAATTGAAAAGTTTCTATGAAATTGTACACAATGACAAATATAATTTAATTCTAAATTCTACACCTATTTTCCTTTCTGACCGGCAAGTTTCAACGTGGATCAGTTCATTTGTACATAAAATTGTATATTAATATTTCTTATTTCTATTAATATTATAATTTCATTTTCCTGGGTTCATGACTTCATTGTTCATGTACTTTTTTGCGCTACATTTTTTAAAAAACTGATGGCTTATTATATATTTAATTCAACCTCTATTAACCGCTTTGGATATTGATGCAGTTTATGCATTAAAAAAGTCCATGGACAATTAAAAAAAAGTTTACTGATACCTTTCTTTACCACGAAACAAATTAGCCAGAGTTGCCACGGACAGAAAACTCCTTCTCATTTAAGATTTGGGAAAAATCTTATTTCATATAAAAGATCTTGAATAGGTAAATTTGACATACACAAGAACATGCACATTTTAAAATCAAATTTATTATATACACATGTCATCATCGCTAGCCGAGGGTTTCCGATCCAAATCTACTTTACAAGTATAGAGTAGCTTTCGGATTGGAAACCCTTGGCTAGCGAAGATGACATATATGTAGACTCAACCCAGGTTCAAACTTTTACGGAAAATGATTGTTTACCAACTGTATTATTCTTTATATTAGCATTTAAAAAAAGTTCCCCCTTTTTCAGGAAAATATTGTTGGCGAGGAATTTATTGCAAACAAATAATACAACTGCAGATAACTTGGGCAATACTAAGCCTGAATTCTACGTTATCCAAAAAATGTAATTCTTCATCATTGCCCAAAGTTAAAATTTCGTTTATAGTTCTGAATCCATATCCGATGTTTTATCATTGTGTTCCCTTTTCTGTCAAGGAAGCCCCCCCCCAAAAAAAATGCAAATACAGACATAATGTAGGCATGGGAAATTATTGAAGTTTACCTTTTTATGTTTGTTTAACCCCCCCCCCTCCATTTCAATTTACTTCCGACCCCTGTTTCCTGTATTCATGCATGAACATTGTGTAAGTGAGAGAGAGAGAGAGAAAAAAAAAGAAGAAAAGATTTGGTTACAAAATATATTAAAATTTTAAAAGAATATATAATTCTAAATGTTGCATTCAATATATTCAGAGTATTTTCATCTGGGTAATATTTTCCCAGATAATAACTGATCCCCGAACGGTCAACGAGGTATGAAGAGATCGTTACTATTTTTTTTAGAAAACTGGACAGGCCGGTTTCACAGATAACTGTTGTTTTCATGTCGCAGGGCGTAAACGGGATGTGTTGATGTAGGCGCTGAAAGAAAACTTGGGAAAGAATTTCAATACTTTTACTTTTATATCTCTTGTTTTTACTTATCGTATGATCCATGATCAAGCTTGTACTGTCTGGCGTCTGGTAAGCATTATAATACGTTGTTTTATAAATGTATTTCTCATAAGCAAAAATTCACGTGCTCGTAAAATTGCAACATTTATTTTTTTTCATAAATTTATTATTATAAATTTTAAAGTATTCAAAAAATTGTGTAATATTAGTTTCTGAAACTTAGCGGAAGACAGTACAAGTTTGACTTATATTTGGGGGGTTTAGTGTACACAGTAGGCCTTCTGGAAGCGTGTGCAATAGCCCGTGACCGCGATTGATCACATATATTTGGAATTGTAACTATCGCAGAGTAGAGAAATATGGCGGACACCGCTTTGCTCGTTGAGTATAATAGGTTTAAGACTTTGCACGATAGCTTTAAGGTAAAGTCTTTATTCCCGAAATTAAAGGTACTTCCAGTTTTCATGTAATTGCAGGTTCCACAACGGAGATCGGAACACTTCTTCACTGAATATAAATGTTGCTGGTGGAATGAGGATTTGCATAATATCCTTCGTAGATTCCTTGGTTGTCGTTTGCTGTTGATAAACGTATACTTTTCTAAAACTTTGGCCATTTCCTCATCGGTTTTTAGAACATTGTTTAGTTGACGAACGGTTGAAGTAATATTCTTGTTTATCGGATTGTGAGTAGTGACCAAAGGTAATATCTTTAAATCTGAAGTTTGGCTTCTGGTTGGATTTAGAAGGTATTCTCTGTCCAGTTTTATTGCCTCTTTGATTCCATCTTCAATGATACCCATAGGATAATACTGTTGAAGGAGAAACGTCTTTAATTCACTTAGACGTTTATCTCTTATTTCTTTGTCACTAACTATAGTGCAGATTCGTCTTGCTAAGTTATAAGGAATTGAGCGCTTCGTGTGGCTTGGATGGCAGAAACTAAAGTGAAGGTCGATGAGAAAAAAAATATTCTTGATCATTTTTGTACAATAGCTAGATAAAGAAATTTGTGATTTGAAGAAAAATACTCACCTGTTTGACACTGGATAAGAGTATTTTTTCCTAAGACAGAATATCATCATTTTCAGCATTGGTATCATTACTATTAGCGTAGCAATCAAAATGAAACATGAGTACAGTTAATTTTTTTAAAAAGAATAACATGCCTATATCATCATCAGTGTTTATAGGCAGAAGTTATTTGAGCTGTGATATGTCATGCTTCTATTAATCTAATATTTTGTTAACCAATTCAGTTAGAGATAGTAGTATTATAATTCACAATTCTTGTTTCATGATCAAAATATTTACGGGGATTTTATGTACATTTCTTGTTAACGATGTATCATAGGTCTGCAATTTAAATATATAAATTGACCTTGCAACATGGGGTGGGGGTGGGGTGGAAATCGATGTAACAGTGAGCATAAAATTAAAATCATAGAATTAAATGACAATGCAATTTTATCAGTTATAGGCGAAAGAAATATGTCAAATAGATCAAATGATATCGCCTTTCTGCTAGTGAGGTATGATACACGTTCTAGTAACAGGTTGATTAAAGTAAAACACATACAAAAACTCCTACCAAACACAGGATAAATTAAAATTGTTTAGCAGTGTCTGAAGTAACTCATATACTTGTAAGAATTTGAATATCAAATCCAGTTTTCTTTAAACCAATGATATAAAAATAACACCGTTATGTCATGATATAAAGAGCGTCATCAAACATGAGAAGCAAGACTGGAAAATAAAACTATTTTTTACTAATATAAATATTGCTAAATCACTTGATTCGTGAAGCTTTGAAACCATTTAAATAATGTTCTCTTACTCAGATATTTTTGTAAAATCCTACAAATTCATCTTTTGTGTATTTTATTTATTTCAAACACTTAAAATGAAAAGTTTCATAATTATATTTCAGAGGTTAAGCAGGTCTATGTAGTTATCCTTTAGTATTCATATTCAAAAACTTTGCAACCTAACAGCAGAGTAAACACAGATGTCTTGCATTATTCATGAATAGTGGGATCAGATGATATGAAGGAGTAAGTCTCTTCTCTCAACGGGTCATTTATATTCAAATATGTATAGTTCAAATTTTCCTGAACCAAAACAACTAGTATTGTTCGAAAAAAAAAAATGTAGACATTGTGATTTTATCGGGAAATAATGCAGAAACTTTGTTGGTGAGGGGTCCTTGACTCTGAAGACTACAAATTAGCTGTCTTTTGAGTTTCAAATAATATATAAGATCATGTTTTCAAAATTCAATAGTCATGATGAAAGTAAGCGTAAAATATATAATAATAATAATAAAAAATACAAGTTTACCTCCGTATTTCTGGTTGATCTGGTCACAAGCATTGTTGTATGCCAGGTCACTGTCTTTCCTGACCATCATACCTACACCACTAATGTCACACCTGTACCGGCCAGGTAGAACCTCCAGATCGTTAAAGTTTGTACGAGGGGAGAACAACGCATCTGCCTGGAACACGTGACAATCGAAAGTTATTTATTCGAAGAAGCATCTTTTCTTTTCTCATCTTATAATATGACAAATATATTTAAAATACTGATTCTTCGTTTATTTATAAATTAACATTAACATTAATTTATTTATAAGTTAAAACCTTGGACAGGTTCAAAAGACTATAGTTCAGATGCCAATCAAATATCTGTACATATACTTTTAAGGGAACGTCCTATTCATTTCAACTATGATATGAGTTTGTTTTTATTCTTTTCCAGTCAATTCCGATCGCATACTGCTCTTTTGTAAACTACAAAAATTGGAAAATGTCTTCACGAAGATAATTCATAATCCGACTACTTCTTGTGTTTTTTTAATCCATCATCAATTTAAATGTTGTTTGAAAATAATATTCTTGCGCATGAGGATTTTATAAGATATAAGAAATTTATTACCTGCGTAAAGATGTAGAAGAATTGTTGTTTGCAAACCTCTTTGATGTCTGTTTTATAGGATTAGGAGAGGGAATAAATGTTTTTTTTTATTTACATTTGTATTTGTATTTTCATTTGTATACTTAATGTTGATTTGGTTTTTTTAAAGGGTGGAATAGAAAACTAGAGACAAAAAATTGCATGCTCTAGCTATTCTATTGATATTTTTTCCTTCTTGTCTGATTAAAAGGTTTTTCAGCGATTCTTTGAAAAACATTTTGCAGAGAAACTTCATATAGATATAAAGTCTTCTAATTTCCTACCTTTATTATTTTGTTCCAGACTTGCATCAAGTTGTAAATTTTAAATTTAATGAATGGAGGTAAATGAAAACTTAAATACACAATCGTGTTTATGTTCGAATGCATAATCTAATTATTCTAAACTTCAAAAAATTAAAGAATGTAGGGACTATTGTCATGTCATAGTCATATCCTTATTATCATTTCTGGATATACATGATAATGTTAATTATAAATCATATTAATTTTGATAGTTCTGCATATTTATTTCAGACAATAATTCTGTTACAATTTAAATCCAGTGAATGATGACCAGTGAGCATAAGCGTATTCTCCGTCTGTACCAACTGTTCTTATCCAGACTTCGTCTTTCTTCTTCATTTTTATAACAGCTGATGAAGATCCGGACGCCCAGTGAGAACTGCCTGATATGCCATTGACATGATTATAACCCATAACGTTACCGTTCAGAACAATCTGAGTATGGAAGTGTTTTCCACCCTTTGTTACATTGGTCCACATAAATGAGTAGAGACCATCTTTAGGCGCTGTAAATTTACCAGTGTTGGCGTTATAGGAATTTCCAGAGTTTTGTGTTACTTTCCCATAAACAACAACAGTGTTTGCACGAAGGTTTTCCTGTGTTTTCGATAAAAGTGCGTGAAAAGCGATGCTTTCTATCCAAAGAAATAAATATACAAATATTAAGCTGTATCTCAACATAAACTTCACAAAAATATATATGTACAACATATCTTGACATTTTTGTTTTGAATTCTTTCAAATTACTTCCGTTTTTCTTAGGTTTCTTTGAAATCAATTCATTCTTATTTCAAATATTTGATAACACCATTGTTAGATATTTCGTGTATTTCTTCTAATTATTTTAGTTTTATCTTTATTTTCTACTTTGTTTATTTATTAATTGATCTTTTATTTATCTATCTACTTGTATTCATTTATGTGTTTAGCATGTAAAATGACTTCTAAATCCAAAAGGAAAATTATGATGTCAGGACCTTAATCTTTAAAATTTCCTGGCAAACATAATATCCAAGCATTTAGATTATTTCATTAAGTCAGTGAAAAAATTCAAAATTGTGACGTAATTCCCCATCTAGTCAATGCATTATGACCACATAAAATGCGTAATTTTCTTCAAATACTGTAAATTCCTCTGAAAATGACCTAAAGTTGAAGCATTTTTTCAATATTTCATGTAGAGCACAACCTCTGATCCAAAATATGCAAATACATAATGAAAGCTCTGCTTAAGATAAAAAAAAAATATGTTTTATTTTTTGGATCGTGGGCTGTGCTCATATCTAATTTCTTAGCTGAAGGTAGTCAAATACGCATGTTTTCTGCAAATTTCAAAAACATTGCAATTTCTCAAACCTGTTTTCCAATATCTGGATTCTCAAAACGAAATTTTATGATAGGAAATGAAAACACCAAGTGTCTACTTCATTTTGATATATGAAATGGGAAGGAGGGTGATAGTTAATTAATTGATATAAGTACAGGGCCGTTTTATGCCTAAGATGGCTCCTGCTCTTTATCATACATTTAATTAAAATAAACATTCAATTATAAAGACAATTTTATAATGAAATTGCAGTCATAATATTTTTTACCGAAAGGTGTGAAATTTAGCAAATTGGTTTGCATGTCGTTAGTGGAAAGATCGGATCACCATGATACTTTTGAAAAAAAAATTATACATTGTAATAAATATTAAAAGTCTAAACCTTTCTAAAATTTCGTTAAAAGAATTCGCAAATTGCCGAAACTTGTTTCTTTAAATGTTAGAATCTTAGCTAGATTGCATTATATACACAATTGTATGATTACTTGTTGGTTTTCAATATTTGGTCAAAACCCGTGGTTGTAGATAACCCAATTCTGAAACAATGCAATACACTTTGCATTTAGTCTGCGCAAATCCAGACAAATAGTGTGTGCTTTTATAAATTGTATACATAAACGTTCATGTCAAATTGAATTATTTTAAACTTAGACAAAATTGTTTTTAAATAAGAGTAAATAAATACCTTTATCTTTTCCTGAACAGTTCCTATTCTGATACCCCATTCCTTTACAGACTGTGTTATATTTGTTGTATTTATCAATGAAGTCTTGTGTGCCTTCTTTTGCCTGCACTTCCAGCAGAATGCATACGACAAGGAGAATCGCTCTAAGCATGTTCATCCTATTTAAAGACATAGTAAAAGAGGCAAAAAATCATTTTGAAATACTTTTTCATTGATTTAGGTTATCTGTGGACACCAGATTGCCTCAACCGTTTCCCATACTACTACATGTATAACAGATGTTATAAATTACTCACAGGGTTAATATCATATCACTTTGAAGGATATATTGCAGCCAAATTCAGCCTTTAATGTTCAGCTACCATCACTTTATATCATTTACAAAGTAATTAAAAGGTAACGTGAGCATTTGTGGTTTTTTTTTTTCAAATGAAATATTTGTATTTAAATGTATTCTTATTGAATTCTATTCTGATAAATTAAGTGGTGTGAGAAAAGGGTTATCCTCTGTTTTCTTCTAAAAGTCACTTTATCGTAAAAGAGAACATTTCATGCTTAAATCTAAATTAATTCAATTTGTTCAATTTCAGCTGAAAAGTTGAAGATGAATATATATTTTTTTATGCTTTGCAATTCTTTTTTAAATATATAAATTCATGAATCATTATGACAGAGAAAGAATTTGGAAATTTTTTAATTGTAACTAGTTTTCTACAGTAACCAATTAAAGTTTATGAACAGCTTAGTCTATTTCTATAATTCTAGGCTATTGCTATCAGTGATCATTTTCACAAAATAGACGTGAAGGTAAATATTAACCAATAATACAATTGTTATAAAAAAAAATAAAAAAGGAATTTTGTTCTTCTTTGTTTTCTTCATATAAGCAGATTATATCATTGACTGGAACTCGCGTAAACTCGCTTGGCATGTGGAGGTACCAGGATGGCTCAATTGCGCTATCTCTTATATTCTATAATTCCTTTTAAATTTGTGGACCAGAGCGGCGGCCATGGTTGGGGAGTGGAGATGTTACCCAACCAGTATAAAATGCAACCAAGACAGTCAAGATTCAGCTTTCCACTCTTTATTAAATTAAACAATCTATTTCTAATATTTATCATCACAATAAATAATTTTACAAAATATACTAAACCATATTAAAACTATAACTACTTATAATATAAAAAGTTTAACTTGTAAATAAAAGAAGCCATGTGAAAATTTAATAATTTTGATCAAAACGCGTGCAAGTCTACAAAATTATCTCACCTGTATAAAATGCAACCAAGACAGTCAAGATTCAGCTTTCCAATGAAATCCTGTCTATCCCGGCCGTTCATTTTATACTAGGTGTACCTTTGTCGATTCACATCTCCATATTTTTAATTCCTTCGAAATATGCAATAATTACTTTAAATTTTTATTTGAATTTTTCATTACTATTATTCTGACCTTGAGTACTTTTAAAATTTCGAATGCACTTTTAAAATAATTTCCAATCTTTTGCAAAATCTTTAAATATTATTTGTAGTAGCTAATTTATTCAAATATCTGACCTCTGGTCACTTCATTACCATTGGTTCCTTATTCACCCTAGCCAAATACATCTTTTCATAAACAAGCAAGTAGCAGCTGCATTCCCATGATCTATTTCGTGGGACCGTCCGATTTAAAAGTTTAATTCCTATTGATCAGCCTCTTTAATTACTTTTATCTGTAGAGCTCGCGTTCGTTATCTTTTGACAGACTAAAACTGCAAACTCATAAAATTTGTTTCATTCTTATATTTACTGCAATTTTTATTATGATACAATGCATCTAAAACCTGGCTTCACGATCTTGAGAGTGCATGGATGTGTTCCATCTTGGCTTCTCAGAATTACATTAAACACGATGACATATGAAAAAACGTAAAGTTTTAGCGTACACTATCAATTTTCATGGATAAAAAATCATTTTCTGTTATTGTTAGGTTTTAACGGATTGCTGCTCTTAGGTATATAAAATACTATTATTTTATTTTACAAGTATTATATACATGTACCGTAGAGGAATTAAGATTGATTACAACAGAAAAATATTTATGATATAGAAAATTGATGCAATACGCTTTGAATCCTTGATTTATAACACACTGATCGTGTCTAATCAATGTCTTCTTGAGAGTGAACGATGTTCCAGTATTTACACGTCAAACGCCTGGTTTTGTCTTATTATGAAACGTAACATTTAATATTCAAACGTAGACATTCATAAAATTTGTCGCAAAAGTTTACTATTATAATCGAGTGAAATGAAGAATAGATTAGTTTTTATATAAAAAATTTCATTTGTCCTACTTTTTTGACAAGACAGTTTATAAAGACAGGAATCTTATACTGAAAAAAATGAAGAAAAAATCCAATAAATCTGCCGTGACTATTTGATTTCAAAACTAAACTGAGCAATATTTGACTACAAAATCAAACAAATAATCGTTATTTATTGTATTTACTACTTTATAATGATATCGATTAACTGTACATTTCTGAATTAAATATTACTTCAAAGGTAACAGGTTGCTTGAATAAATAAACACGCGACATCCAACTACGGTCAAAAGATGAGATAAAGAATCCTTATCTTACGAGTAAAATGAATCTTTTTTAGGAGATATAGGTAATAAACATTGATTACCAATATTATTATCTACATAAAGAAGATAAATAAATATGAATAATTTCATGCACTTTTTGAAACATTCTGATCAAGTTAAATACTTAGTCTAGAATCTTTATGCCAATTTTTTATGCGAATAATTCTTATTTTACTTTCATTAAGTACTCTATCTGACATCGATAAGTTCAGGAAAGCAAATGAATGTAAAATATCTTTGAAACCTTTGAAAAAATGTTCTCCTAAGAATCAGTCACATTATCCAGCGATGAGGTATACGATGAAAATCCGATGCGGTTTGACGGTTTTACTGTGCTATCAGACTTCAACGTATTTTCTTACTAGTTTTTTTAAACTTATATTATAACAAAAATACATCCTGTAATTTTATTTTTTAATTGATGTTCATAATGACACCAAATTACATGTAAATGTAATTTTTCTATTGAAATAATTCTACATTGTTCAAATATTTTCTTTATACATACATTGTATCGTCATATCTCATATGTAAAATGTTTAAAAAGGGAGATTCATAATTTATAATGATGACAATCAACACAACTAATACACACATGCCATGCAAACAAAAACAATCCCATCAAGGTTTTTTCCTTACAAAAGCACAAGAATTGCAAGAAGTATGATACCCTGAAAAAAAAAAATAGCAGTGTAAATAATGCAAATTATGGTATTAAAATCGTTTTTTTTTTTTGGAGGTCAGATAAATCTAGCTACTAATTAAAAGCCTTAAAAGCCAAGGCTACCAAGAAATGCAAATACGAATATGCTAAAAAAAAAACTGATAAATTAACTACACAAAAAGGATTTTTCTTTTCTTAGTTTTAAATCAAAATGGGTCTTAAATATTCTTCTTGATGAATTGTAGTCAAGTGTTCAGTGAGACACTGTTGATTATGAAATTCCTCTTTTTCTCTAATACTATTTGCAAATTATGCATCTTGTTTACATGATCACTATTTCTACTTATATCCGAAGACAGTAATAATTTTTAACAACTTGAATATCCTAAATATCCAGTCAAACGTGAAGCTTTGACATTATTTGCTAAAAATACATAATTTTTACTTTGATTTACTTTATACTAACTCTACTTATTATAACGACGGAAATATACTACGAGATGGTTCTTTCTTTTTCTATTTTGGCCACTTCCGGTGCTGCCAACAAGGTGTTTTCCTGCCGGTGGTCGCGGTAAGCAGTTCCTTACAGGAAATCCTACAAAAGAAAAATAAGAGTCATAACCCAACATTTTAAAGTTGACTCTCTCTCTCTCTCTCTCTCTCTCTCTCTCTCTCTCTCTCTCTCTCCAAATGCTTTTGCAGGTATGTTCAGAACTAGTCACGTTGCAAGTTTGTAAGATATGCGCAAAATTAATCAAATTTAATTGAAAGAGAAGTTTTATTAAATGGATCAAAATAATGGTAATATCTAGATTAAAATAATGAAGGATTTCATTTATGTTAAAATTCAGGTGATTAGTTTCATGATAACTGTAAAGTATCGGTTTACATTTTTGTAACTTTTTTTCACACTTTACTTTTATGGTAGCGAAATATACCAATTTAGACCTCTACTTGACTCTCAGAACCATTACACAGTGAGAGGTCTCCTCGACTCTGAAGACTTTACAAATTAGTTTCCTACTGAGAATTTATAAGTTGCAAATAATATACAAGATCATGTTTTCAAAATCAATATTCATGATTGAAGTTGGCATAAAATATATAATAAAAAAAACACGTGTACCTCCGTATTTCTGGTTGATCTGGTCACATGCATTGTTGTATGCACCCGACAAATAATACTCCTCAAAGGCGGTGTTCCACCACGCGGGGAGGTCACTGTCTTTCCTGACCATCATACCTACCCCACTGATGTCACACCTGTACCGGCCAGGTAAAACCTCTAGGTCGTTAAAGTTTGTACGAGGGGAGAACAACGCATCTGCCTAGAAAACGTGACAATCGAGTTACTTATTTGAAAGAACATCTTTTAAATTTTTCATCTGATTGTAAAAACGCCATGATTAATCGGTTTTTCATAGGATATTGAAATATCTCTAAAACTTGTCACTTTATATATTTTTTTTTTCACTTGTATTGAATTTTGATAGATAAATTAGAAATTTTAATTGAAAATAATAAAAATGATATAAGACAAAGCGATGATTTTTTTTCTTTTATTGAAATCGTAGTAAATTTAAAAAATAAATATTTAACAGGAAGTGATATTGATATTTAGCATATTTAAGAAAATGTCATGGTCATATTTTAAATACTTACAGTTTGATTAAGAAGAAGTTCTTTAGCCTCTACAATTCCTGAAGCTACTATGACTTGCTTTGGTTTTCCTAAACCAATTCTAATTGTACACTGTTCATTTGTAAAAGCCCCGTTCAAGTGTACTGAAATAGAAAATGTCTCATTTCACTAAACGAATGAAATCGCACAATCCTCAAAATTATGGCATTTAACATTATTTTGTAGCTTTTGTAGAAAAATACCTGACTGCAACATTATTAACAAAGATATTTCATTGTTATATTTGTATAAATAATCAAATAAAGCTGGAATGATTATACTACATACAGTATTATTTTTAAAGAGAAACATAGATAAACGACTACGGTTCAATCTGGAAATAAATGACATAGAAGTCCGTGTATGAAATAATATACAATTATGGACTCTTTTGGTGTTGAATATGGTTTGTTATTCACCAGAAAAATATTCATATTGACCGAGGCGGAGCCGAGGTCAATATGGATTTTTTCTGGTGAATAACAAACCATATTCAACACCAAAAGAGTCCATAATTGTTTTATTATATAGTCCGAATTTGAATAAATAAGACATTGAAGAATAACGAAACCACTTTCGTTTACTAATTTACGTCGTTTAAAAATATGCCAAGATTATAGTTTGTCACCACCGTGTTTTCCTTTCCGAGTTTCGCCTTGTAAGACGTCCAAATGTTTAAAAATAATCCTGAAATAAGTTTGTATAATATTTTTTCTGCTCAGATACGTAGCTCGCTGTGGCCTTTGCAACCATTGTTTTCAACGTTGTTTGAAGTATTGATTATGACGTCACAATGAAGCTGCACGCGCAATGACTCTCCGGTGAATACGGCCACAATTGTTTACAACGTTGTTTAAGGTTTTGATTGTGACGTCACAATGCAATGCACGCCCAGTGACCCTCCGGTGAATTCGACCTAAAATCCAGTGAATATGTAGTGTTATGAACTGTTTGCGTTTGTATAGATTATATAGGGACTATATGTAGACTATATAATAAAGAGAGATAACGAACAGTAGTCAAGCTCAAAAGTCCAATAATCAATACAAAATAGGAGCAGAGCAGACACGGACCTCTGAAATATCAGAGATGCGATCAGGTGCCATGAAGGAGTGAGCATCCCCTGCCGACCGGTCAGACCCGCCGTGTGCTCCTTGTCATGATCGGGAAATAACGGAAAACTCAGTAGTGTTAAGGCTTTCCGGAGCTTTAAACGCACTCAAAATGTAACACTGCGTTGCAGGATCGATTTTGAATTGAATTTGTTAGTTATAAACTCAAGGAAAGCCAGTTCATATAAAGGCTATATACGAGGGCCGTTCAAAAATTACGCGGACTGTGCTATTATTTACTCTTACAGACGTCATAAAGTTACGAAATTTCACAGAAATATGTATCTTATAGAATCCTATAAATTTTGGGCAAAATTTTTGTATTTTTTAAAAATTCTACTAAAATTATCGGTATGTTGATATCGCTGATGGAGAGGTGCGGAGCACGACAAAAAATCTGAAGCAAAATCATGCGGAATCCAAAATTTAACTCATTTATTTTTTGCGATAATTTGCGACAATTTTCTCAAATGTATCTTTAAATTGTTCTTTGATTATGCATTTGGATTTCTGACGTGATATTTGAAGTACGAATAACAGAAATATAATGATTTTTCTCTGTTGCGATTCCCGTGAAAATGACGTCTGCTGAACTGACGGCGCACCACACTTTTGTTAAATTTTGTGTAATGCTCGAGATATCGCCAACATAGATCAAAAATATACACAATAAAACATCTAGTAAACTAGGATATTCGTGACATTCGTCCACAAAAAGCAAATTCATTTGAAATTTTAGACCCTTTAGACTCTGTAAAAAGGCTGTACGGGAGGACGGGAAGAAGATTATGGACGAAAACTTTATTCGGACTGTATTTTTTAAGAACGTGATTGAGAGTCACCAATATCACACTTTAATAATATAGGGTTATTGAACTTATATTGGTGAATATTGGCACGAGTTGGCTGTTCAAATGCACGAGCTTGCGAGTGCATTTGAACAGCCAACGAGTGCCAATATTCACCAATATAAGTTCAGTAACTCCTTTATTATATAGCTAAAACATTTCCACATAATTTATAATAATTATTCCAACTTAAAAAACCCTCAAATTAATGATTTTTTAGTATCGGTATTCAAATTAACGTCTGTCCTGTTAGCGTTCAATATCGCATAATTCCGATGACCCTGCCGAGTGATATGATTTGCTTATTTTGGTTTTAATGGGTCTAACACGTACTTTATTCTAATGAATTAATTTATTTTAGTGTGAAAAATAAACACATCTTACCTAGATGCCACTTCTTTTCTTTAATTTATCTCTGAGAATTTGATCAGACGACTTTTTTTGTTTACAACGGGGCGTTCGATATTGAACGCTCGTATTCGGAATGTTTCGGGCATACTCATATACGCAATACAAAGTTAGCGTTCAATAAAACGTCAAGATATTCAACGCTAAAATTCTCTAGATTTTTGGTAGTATTTTATTATAGAGACTATTTATTAGCTATATAATAATATCACATAAATACCTGCAGTTTTTGGTTTTTAAACAAAAAAAGAATATTTTTTACTTGTTTAATAGATTTTAAGCTTGACAATTAAGAAATGGTATTTGGATGTTGAGTAGATAAGGTAACTCAAACTGTACAGGTACTCTTGGGAAAATGTTGAGAAAATGAAAGCTCAATAACATTTTGTTTATAATGCCTGTGACGTCGAAGATATTGCTGCTCCGTGACTTAATAATATGTCCTGAAAAATCACTCAAAATTGAAACTAATTTACAACATTTTGATATGAAATTTTGAAGACCATATAAGTAAAGATTCTTTTATATTATGTATGACATTTTGCCCGATTATGTCGTCAAATATTTTTTCTATGCAACAAGTCCGCGTAATTTTTGAACGGCCCTCGTATAAACTTATTTGTTACGATATCATATAACCTCGATAATCACGTGACGGTCATTTTTACTTTTTTGAAAAATTGCACATAAATAGCTTCAGGTTATTAACACAATTATTATTAAATTTTTGTCAAGTAAATTAATTCCTCGGTGCCTCGCTTCAAACTCTAAAAATTACGGGTCAGCCATATAGAATGAAGTCTGCACTGAATGATGCAAGTTTAAACGGTGAGAGATGATTGAATAATATTACTAGTTCTTTACGGAATCAAATATAATCGAATGTGAAAATGGAGCTGATCTTTTGAGACGGACGCTCAACGGTCCCTCAAATATTGTGAGGATGACCAAAAGCAATTTTTTTTTCTCTAAGATAGAGTGCACCAGATGACAAGTGCAGAAAAATTAAGGTAATGCACGATTGTATGTATATTGTTTAACGTCCCTTTCAAGAATTTTTCACTCATATGGAGACGTCACCGTATGCCGGTGAAGGGCTTCAAATTTAGTGCTATACTCTGCACTCAGGGCCATTGAGCAGTGATCATTTTCAATTATGACGTTATTTATAGTTCAGAGAAGTGAATGCACAGAGGATACTGCGATATTCTCTGGGAAGGCTTAACGTACCTGCGAAATCTGCCGTCAATTCAGTGTGTAAATAATGGACTAAGAATTAATATGAAAAACGTCAGTCAGCATTAAAATTTTGACGCAGTGGTAAATTGTATTTGATGACAAAGTCATTGTATCTCCATAGAACATACAAAATGATGAGTTTCAACGAGACAGCTGATATTATTGTTTCAGAAACTGGTTTTTCAATAATTTCCCTCGTTTAAGAAATTATACATACGTTGAGCATGCTCTTGTGTATCAAATTAACTGAGAAAAAATATAAACTCTGTATGCAGGTTATAAATGTATATTGCTGTATAAGTGAGGGAAGTTGACGATTGAAAAGTTAAAGTCATTGCATTTATCATAGAGCTTAGTTGTTAAATTAGTTTTTAGATGTTTTACCATATCCAAATATGAAATAGATGTACCAAACTCTGTTGTCTCTTCTATCTAAAGCTCACGTGGGTTACCTGAATATCGTATGGACAGAAGAATGGATATAACTATTGTTAACTGTCAATTCGTCGTAAATATTTGGTAAATATTACCTCTGTTTATAGTTCAATTTATACAATTTAAATTGCACAAATATCTAAAGAGAATACATCGCATGTTGTAATGATTCTTTGTGTGTGTGTGTGTGTGCTTTTTTGGTCTTCCCTGCCTGATGACAAAGCTATTCCAGCGAGATCAATAATTCTTTAAAACTTGATTATGCTAACAAACAATGAATATGAATGAATGAAACTTCATATAAAAAATTATATAAATGCTCCATCTACCTATCACAGCATTCTGTAAAGCCTCTGGATCAAACTTTTTTGGATTTCCCTTAAGAACCGTAAATGTGGAGGTGGTGGTCCGGATAGCGTTAGTGAACTGTAACGCGTTGACACGGTCCACTGAACTCACATATCCAGTACAGGCATCGAACCATCTTTCCATCAGGCCTAGTATTTATTGATAAAGGACGTTTATGTGCAAAGGGTTTCATTGACAGTTTCAGATTGTAAGTTAACGTTTCTCTGAAGAATTATATTCTTTTTGTTTATCATAATTCCATAAGTGTTTTCCAATCTATATTCAATTGCAATTAATTGTTACGATTTTTATTTATATAATGTAATACCAGTTATGACAAATAGAAAGAAAAGCTTTGGATTTCGTTTGAATTGAATATAAACGATATCAATATTTTCTCTTTCATGTTTATCTTTAATTGCATTTTATAATCTGATGTAGAATCATGTTTTACCTTCTCCTGGGTAAAACCGACCACGAATTGTCTGCACACAGGCTTCTGTAGGAGCTAACGTCGTTGCGCATTTCTGGTTGGCAATCGAACATACTACAGGGGAAAAATAAGTTAATTCATCACGCATATATAAGTATTCCAATTAATTATCAATATTGAGATAATACATTTTTTTTTTATTTTTAATACAGGAGATTTAATTATTACTAGTGCATATTGGTAATTTACATATATATTTACTTTAGGAAACAAATATATAAAAAATTAGAAAAAGAATTTGTCGTACCTGCCTGTATCAAATCTAGATCCGCTCCAATCAAGACCCCATCGCTGCCACTTAAACAAGAATCAAAACAATTTAGTATTAAATGTGCCTTCCTTTCATTTAATTTAGAATAATCTGTCTGAAGATTCATTTCTATAACATTGTGTATTTTCATAAACTCTCTTTCCTGTTATGAGTAAAGTCTTAATTAATTAAGAGCAATTTTTTATCATTGTTATGTCCTGATTTTTGGACTATTTTTCTCCACTTTACATTAACAAAAATTATCTATGATTCTTACATGAAATTCCAGGGTCGCCTATTTCCACTTACTGCAAATAACCACGTTTTGGTCTGTGAAGGAAAATAAATAGAAGAAAGATCAAAAGATCGAGGGAAAACCGTGCATGCTTTTGTCAATGGTCCTTAAATTTTTGTATGATTATTTAAAACTCATAATTTATATTTAATTTTATTCAAACAATTTTAAATCTAAATGAATATTTAGATCAGTCCTAAATATATATATATATATAGTCCATATTCAGTCCTAAATGAATATTTAGATAAAACTTTGAGTTCAATTTATAGCTTAAATTTCTAATATAAATTATGCAGCTTGTACTTTTTAATACCTTTTTATTAATAACCTATTACATTTGATTTCAGTCCTTATGTTCAATTAATTATCAGAAATAACATTATTCCAGACATTAGTATCCACTTTTTTCCGCGTTAATATCCCGTTCTTACCGATAATGTTTATTGTTAATTAAAAGTACTACATATGTATGTAACGAAATTATGTCATTTGTCATTTACGTAATATTACACATAGATGTCAGTTGATACACATTCTCCTTAATGTGTACATTTTTTATACTTTCTGATATGTTTTTACACTGACCCTAGGGCTATTTTGATATCTATTATCCAAAACAACTCACAGTCAAGGTAACAAAAACTAATCATATGATACTGCGATTATGATAATCTACTATAATCTCTTTTCTATTTTGTCACTTTTTTTTCATATTGAACACTATATTGTGTACCAGAAAAAACAATGTATGAAAAATAAGGTTGGGTTAACAAATGCATTCATTTGAGAGATGCATTCGTGAAATTAATCATAGACTGCATTTAAAAGTCGTTCCAACCACATAGCATCGTACCGAAGCCCCACGTGTTTTCAAGGTCACATGGTGGGTTTTATATAAACATCACATGACTGGTCTATAAGACATGAATACCTTACCTGGCCAAATACAAATAAAGGAAGAATCACAAGGACAATGGCCGAAAGGCAGTGATTGTTCACCTGTTTAATTGTAAAAAAAAAAATTAATATCATTAATTAATTCAGCTTTTGAAACGTAATTATATAATGTATGAATACGTTAAAACATTATACCGCTAGCATTCTAGTAAACAGGTAAATGAAATGCGTTTAAATGCTTTTAACTGAATGCCGATCGATCTAATTAATATCTATCTACTGTATACAATCTTATGCATTCCAAAGTAGTCTGCATATAAAAGTTAGGACTTTATTTCATGTTACACACCTCATGAAATCAGCGAGATTTAAATTCAAACGACAATATAAACAATAGTACTCTGACTTACCTTTGTCATGCCTAATAATTACTTGAACCTGAGTAGTAATACCGGTGTTTTATAAACAACACTAACTCTCCGGTATGATATCACGTGACAGCTTCGAGATCCTGTAAGTCATCACTGTACAGTCACAAGCTCAAGGTTGTAGCATTGCAATTGTATTAATATATATATTGGCAAACTGTTTAACTATATTCTTAACTCAAGATTAGATAAATATTTAAAATGCAATGATAAAATCAATCCTTGTCAAATAGGATTTACAAAACAAGCTAGAACTTCAGATCATGTTTTTGTCTTGAAAACACTTGTTGAAAAATACTGCAAATCAAAAAAAGGGAAGCTATATGCTTGCTTTGTTGACTTTCATAAGGCCTTCGATAGTATAAACCATGCTGGTCTGAAGCTTAAACTACTAAAAGCTGGTATTAGCACTAAATTTTACTCAATTGTTAAGGATATGTATTCTAAAAGCTATTCTTCTATTAAACTGGGTAACAAATTAATTGGTCACTTCCGTACTTACAATGGGGTTAGACAAGGTGATAACATGAGCCCAAACCTATTCAAGATTTATCTCGATGATCTATCAAATTATCTGTCAAATTCTAAAAGTTTTGTAAAATTAAACAATGATTCATCTATGTCCATTCATTGCCTAATGTATGCTGATGACATGGTACTTCTCTCCCCAACTGCTGAAGGTCTACAAGAAAAACTCGATATACTAAGTACATACTGTAAGGACTGGTGTCTCAAAGTTAATACAAAGAAAACAAAAATTATAGTCTTCAATTCATCTGGTAAACACGTTAAAATTCCCTTTCATCTGGATAACAACAATATTGAATGTGTTAAACAATACAAGTATCTGGGTCTGACTGTTAATGCATCTGGAACACTAAGTAATGCTAAAAATGATTGTTGTAACAAAGCCAAAAAAGCCTATTTCAAACTTCAAAAAGACTTTCTCACATTTAATCCATCAATTAGAACTGCTTTAAATGTATTTGACCACACTATTAAACCCATTATCCTGTATGGTTCGGAGTTATGGGGTTTTTTTGACCCAACAACCTCTAAATTTAAGAGAAATCCAAATATAACACTAGACAAAATATACCAAAGCTTAGAAGGCGAAATTCTAAATCTTAAATTTTACAAACATTTACTAATGGTTCATGGTAAAAGCAGCAATTTTGCTGTAAGATCTGAGCTAGGACGTTTGAATTTACATTTTGATGTCATTAAAAATATGTTGTTATACTGGCATAGATTAGAGAATCTAGATGGTGAATTTCCCTTGCTTAGTGAGGCTTTTAACTGCTCTAAAACACTACACCAAAATGGTTTTACTTCATGGTATTCTTGTGTTAACTTCTTACTTAACCATATTGATATTAAAATTAGTGATTTCCTAGGTATGTCAACCCCACAATTTAAAACCAATTTGAAAAGAATATTACTGAATTTCTATAAATTAAAATGGGAAAAAGACAGGAATTTACATAAAGATGGCAAATTGTCTACCTTTACCAGCATAAAGACTAAATTTTGTTTTGAACCTTATCTAGATATTCTTACAAACAATCAACATAGATCAGTTTTAACAAAGTTAAGAATATCGGCTCACAGGCTTAAAATTGAAATTGGACGTTACCAAAAAATACCTAGAGAGGAACGAATTTGTTCACTTTGTCATCACAACGAGATTCAGGATGAAATTCATTTTCTCCTTGTATGTCCTCATCTTAATGTACAAAGACTTGAACTCATAAATATTTGTAAAATTAAATGTAAAAATTTTCAATCTCTATCTTATGATAATCAATTTTATTGACTCATGACTAATGAAGACCCAGACATCCTTAGATCACTTGCTGCATTCCTTAGTAATTTACCTTAATTGAAGATATTGTGATAAGCATAAAAAATTATATATCTCTTTCCCAGTTTCTTGCCCTTAACTATATATATATATATATATATATATATATATATATATATATATATATATATATATATATATATATATATATATATATATATATATATATGTATAAATTATATATATATTTGTATGTAACTTACAATACAATACATGTATGTATATTCAGTATATCTCTTATATACTTTTTTTGTTTTTTTTTTAACAATTGCTCTTTATTTGTAATATCATCATCATGTTTGTTCTATCATTTTGATCCTCCTCCTTCTATTTGTAAATCTTTTTGCTCCTCCGGGGGCCCAAATTGGATTAATAAAATCTTGTATCTTGTATCTTGTATATATGTGTATATATATATATATTAGGGATGTCAACGAGTACCCGGTTAACCGGGTACTCGATCGAACGTCCGAGTATCGAATACTAAAATCGGTACTCGGTTACTCGGATGTATATTTTTGAATAGTTCTAAACTTATTTATTAATGCATTAAACAATCTGTTTTAAAACGTAAAATGCTCATTGAACTTGTACATACAGTAATTAGGGCTTCCTACGACTCTAAATGACCGTTATCGCCTGTGGCAGTGTTTATACAGTAATTATCATGACCAAGCACCTTGGGTACCTGGCTTTTCTCACCTTCGGCTGTCTTCTTCCCTTATTTTTTGTTTGGCTTTAATTATTTGTTTTCACTGAACATCGTTTAAGATCCACTATGTTTAAATAAATTAGATAATTTTGTCATTTCTCCGAGAAGCCGTAAATTCTCGGGAAAAGAGCGAATGATATTACACGTGCGATATTACATGCCAATTCAACTGGTTGAAGGCAAAGGCTTTAAAAAAAACTGATGTCCATCGTTGCACCAAACTACAAAATACCGTACCGTAATATTATAAAGTCTAGGATCGAAAAAGTGTACGAAAATCGTAAATCTGCTCTGTTAGGAGAATTGATCAAGTTCAAGTTGATACTGTACGTATCTCTGACGACTGATACCTGGTCGTCAAACGCGACAAAGAGTTACATTACAATTACGTAGCAGATTATTTTTTTAAACAAAAAGACTGTGAACAATTTATAATTTTAATTCTTGTGTTTATTTGATAAATAAATTGAATATTACGGTATGTTATATTAAATTTCGTCGGGCACGAAGTGCTCATCATTATTATGACAGAAATACATTCACGGATAAGTCTCCTATCAGTGCATCTGGTTTTATTTCTACAAGAGTTTACAATGTTTTATACTTTTCAATTTGCTTGTTCATATTTATGTACACTTTTACCGAGTACCCGGGTACTCGATCGGAAAAACGTCCGAGTAACCGAGTATTAAAAATCGACCGATTTGACATCCCTAATATATATATTCAAAAAATTATTTTTCCTTGGTATAGGGATAAAATAAAATCCAAATTCAAATGATAAACTCAAACTTTTATCTAAAGCGCTTTCGCCCCATGCGGGCTCATCAGTAGATTTATATCATCAGTATATATATATATATATATATATATATATATATATATATATATATATATATATATATATATATATATATATATATATATATATATATATATATATATATATATATATATCAGAAGTCCATGAATTCACAGTGGTCGGTATAGTAGTATAGTAAAAAATAATTAAAAAGAAAACACGAAGACAACAAAGTAAAGCATTAGCGCTTTCATTTAAAAATCTTCAGATGCTTTACAATCAAGTTTTTTAACTGTCACATAGTAACGCCTACTATGACGTCATAATTAGCGGAACGTAGTACAGTCTCTATGACGTAATTCTCCCAGCAGTTATTACGGGAAAGTCAAACAATGCTATTTAGCTTTGGTTTTATTACTACTTTAAAACCAAAGCTAAATAGCCAGAAGGATTTGTATGATTGTGAAAGATACAGAAACTAGAAATCAAAGGTTGACCGAACTAAAAACATTTCTTCTAGCACAACATTATCCAGAAAATCTTATCCTTTCTGCCATAAAAGAATCCAAGAAAATTCCGCAGCATATTTTAAGAACAACCAGAAAAAAGGACAAAGATCCATTCTTAATCCCTTTTGTAACAACATTCAATCCGAAACACATTAATATATTTCAAGAGGCAAGAAAGAATTTTACCATCATTGAACGGGATAATGATCTTCATCAACTTATACCAAAATCGGATTTGATTCGCAGCCAAAGACAACCGCCAAATTTAAAAAGACTATTGACCAGAGCTAAATTCAACACCACTCCAGAACAATATTCCGTAACAAGATGCGGTGATCCGAGATGCGGTACCTGTCCTAACCTACGAACAGGATCCTCTATTATTTTCAAGTGTGGAAAAACATTTCTTGTGAATGAAAATATGACCTGTAAGAGCAAAAACCTCCTTTATTGTATTACGTGTAACAACTGCGGAGAGGAATACATCGGCCAGACCGGGACCCAATTAACCGCCCGCATGCGCGTACATCGCCAACAAATTAACAATCCGAGCCTAAGAAACACGCCATGCAGTGAACATTTCGATATTTGCTCACAAGGAAACTACTGGTGTTCCCCTTTTATAAACTTAGGAACGATTCCACTGCAATGAGATTAGCAAAAGAAAACTACTTCATAAATCTTTTTTCACCAAAACTGAACAAACATTAACATTGAGAAATTACCTAATTTTATATATCATCAATTAGAATTTCTGTTTACTTTGTTTATTGAGACTGAAAAATATGTGATGTATTGTCCATTATTGTCCAATTTGATTTTCCCTAACTTTTACGTAACGTAGCCATACTATGACGTCATAGATTACTTCCTTCCCTGCAAAGACTCTCATGACGTCATGACGTCATAGTTAACGTTACTAAGCAAAACAATCAGTTCAATTTATGTACACCTGAAGACGGATTATGAGATCCAGAAAGCGCTTGTGTTAAGAGCCAGTCCGCGAGAAAACCATGCAAAATTCAAAAAATCGTCCAAATGGAAGGTTGCAACTTGGGAATTTTTAGTGCCTTAAAATTTTCTACATAAAGATAGAAGTCAGAATATCCACAAAAAAATGTCGAACCCTGCATCTATTTTTAGTAACAGCTCATTTGCATATTTGTGGAAAA